CCTCCCTTTCTCCCTCCCTCCTTCCCAATGAACCCTGTCCTAGTACCTATGTTTAATTTCCCTTAAAAACTGAAAATTTTTATAGGCATATTAAAATACTCCCTTGTTAAATACCTGCCAATATAACTTAAGGGATTTGGGCAAAATAGATGTAACTGGGTCACATTTGTTTATAATTTGTTGTCTTTCCCTCATCATTACGTGACAGGACTTCCAAAAGGACATGATCATGCCTGTTTTCCTCACTGCCCAAGGCACACCTTTCCCTGCAGAAGGCTTCTTAAATATGTGTTAAATGAGTGGCGGTGATAGAATGAGAAAATACCATAGTTAAAGAGCCCTCAAAGAAATTAAGCAGAACTTAGATTTCCCCCATGTGTCTATTGCTTTGTTGGGTAAGAACAGAATAATAAGGAAAGGTTTTAAAAAGGAAAGGAACAGAGGGACAGGCAGTAGTACAAACAGAATATAGCAGTAAATTATTGAGAAAGACCACTTTGGGAATCTCTGTTCAGTGATCTTGTGATCTAAGATGATGGATGACAGGGCTCAGTTCTGTGTGTGTCCTACTGTGAGGTATTGACTAAGGCTGGCACATGCATAATCAAATAGAGACTTAAAAAGTCAAATAATGAGATATCAAACTAAGGGCAGAATGTTATCTTTTTATGAGTGTGATATTTTCTTGGTGTCAGTGTTTGTCCTAGTTTGTTTCTCCATTGCTGTGACAAAACACTCTGACTACTACCAACTTGGGGAGGAAAGGGTTTATTTTATCTTACAACTCCCGGGTCACAGTTCATCAGTGAACCCAAGGTAAGAACTCAGGGCAGGAACCTGGAGGCAGGAGCTGGAGCACAGGCCATGGAGGAATGTTGCTTACTCCCCTGACCCATCCTCAGCCTGCTTTCTTATGCAACACAGGCCCACCTGCCCAGAGGTGGCACCACCCACAGTGGGCTGGGCCCTCCCACATCACTCATCAAGAAGATGCCCCTCAGACATGGCCACAGGCCAGTCCAATGAAGGAAATTCCCCAATGGAGTCTCCCTCAACCCAGGTGTGTCAAGTTGACACTAAAGCTATCCAGCACAATTGACCCCTTGTCAACTTGACACACAAACACATCATTAAACCACAACCTTTCCAATTCTTGTTCCCAAGATATGATATTAACATTAATATCACAGCATAAGACAATACAACCTTAAAAGCCCCACAGTCCTTAAAAAATACAAATACTTAAAAGTATTCAGTCTCTTTTAAAAGTCTCTTAACTGTGGGCTTCTGTAAATTCCAAAACAAGTACTGTCTTATTTCAAAGGGAAGAATCGGGCACACCTAAGCAAAACCAAAGTCCAGCAAAGTAGCTTAAGGCTGGACATCTGGGATTCACTCACAATCTTCTGGGCTCCAAAGGGTTCTGGCAGCTCCATTTCTCTGACTCTGCCATCCACAGCACACACAGCTCATCTCGCAGACCCAGGCCGGCTCCATTCCACATCTATTGCTGTCCTAAGTGGTTGTCCCAGTTTTGGCATCTCCAAAAAGCTGGGGTCTCCACTGAAACTGAGGCTGCAGCCTCACCAATGGCCTCTTCTGGCCTCTCAGGGTGCAACGCCACATATTCTCTCCATGACCCCTTCAGTCCTGGGGTCTTTACTGCAACTGAGGCTGCACTTTCACCAATGACTTTTCCTGGCCTCTCAGGGTGCCAAGCCTCAGCTGCTCTCTGGGATCCCTTCAGGCTTTCAACACCAGAACCATTCAGGTGACTCTTACAAGTTACCAAGTCCTGCTTCCAGCTTGA